ATCGTTACTGTATTTGGGAAATGATTTATATTTAACACTTCAGGTGTCTTAAGAGTTGTAGTGTGGTGGCTGAGAGTCTGAACTACAGATCAAGTAGTATCTAGTTTGAATATTTCCTTGTATTATTGATTTTATTGGAATGCACTATATAATAATAACAACAACAACAACAACAACAACCACGATGATGATGATGATGATGATGATGTTTTTGTTAAAACATTTATCTGTTATATAAAATCAGTCAATGTTTTTATAATTTTGACTGTGCCTGGAGTTATAATATATAATAATAATAAACTTAAATTATTTTAGGAAGTCTCTCAGTCTCAATTCTCATATATGCAAGATGAGGATAAGCAATGGCTGTTGTAAAGATTACAGGGAAACAATAAATGAGAAGTACTTTGAACACTTGAAATATAAAGATGTAAGAAAAACCCTTGTGGATCAGACCATAACCCACTTATTTATTATTTATTTATTATTTATTCCATTTATACCCCACCTATCTGGTCAATTACGACCACTTTGTCCAGCATCCCACATTGACCTTCCAGATGCCCACAAGACCTCTACAGCTCTTGTTCCTCAGCAGCTGGAATTTGGAAGCATGAGAAATAAAGCTTTCAACTCTGAAGTAACATTTATGGAGCTTATTCTCATGTAAACCAAGCACAGGACTGCAGCCAAAAGCAGGCTTAAATAAAACCAATGTGGAGCATGTCTAATTGGTATAGCTAGAGTAATAGGAGAAATGCATACTGCTTTGTATGATTTGCCTTGACATTTTAATAATGACTATACATTTGTACTTAGGAGGATGTATTAGTGAGATAATTGCCCCAGTTAGTCCAGAATTGTGTAGACTTTCCTAATGCCTCGTTATTTAGATATTTTAACTTGCAGCTCATGCTATACTTTACGGGCATAGGCTGTTATTAGGGGTTGTAGATGATGTAGTCCAAAATATCTGGAAGGCACATAACAGGGAAGACTGGCCTGCACTGACTGAACAGCAGCTGTCTGTAACCTCGGAGGAGGTATTACGTAGCTTGGCTGCTAAAATATTTTTACAGTAACTGGAGGCACCAAGGATTGAACTCTGTATGATTTGCATAAAACCTATGTTCTGAGCGAAAGTCTCTCGCCTTGTAGAACTGAGTCAGAATAAATGGTAAGAGATGAAGTGGGGTAGGTGTGTATTCAGATATTTGTTTACCAGTGAGAGATGTTAGGACACAGCCTGGTGCTTCTGAGTGATGGGATTAAGAGGTCTTTCCCTTTAGGATTCTTACGTCAGAGGTACAGTAAATCAAGAAATGACTTGGTGGATGTGTTGTGCTCAAAGTCTAATATTTGCAGGAAGGATTTTTTTTCTGAGTCAGATGTAGGTGTAGCCTTGGAAGGTGTTGGATTTCACCACATCCTTTCTCTGCAGCTTTTTAGCTTGGCTAGCTCGTATGGCAGATCAGGAACGACTGCTTTTGCAAGCCCTTCTTTCATGGGAGCTGCTCCTCTGCTTTTGGATGCTGCAGTCTGGGTGGAGGGTGATTGGAGAGTTTGGACACTCTGGCATTTCACTCTCTCTCAGCCCTGGCTTTGAACAGTTTTGTGCCTTTTGAGAAAACAGAGCAAGCCACCAACAAACTTGCACACTCCTGCCTCATTCTTCATCTCCTCTCCCTGCTGTCCCTAAGTAGGAAACAGTGACTCAAATCCTGTTGCACGATTATGCAAATGGTGTGACTTTTGGAAGTGACTTCCCATAAATTTAGAAATCTTCGCAGACATTATTTGTTGCACACCAAGTTAGAATAGAATCATAGAATCATGAAGTTGGAAGGGGCCTGTAAGGCCATTGAGTCCAACCCCCTCCTCAGTGCAGGAGTACAAATCAGGTTGTCGTCCACATTTCTCTTGAATGCCTCCAGGGTTGGAGCACTCATCACCTTTGAAGGTAAATGGTTTCATTGCCATACTGCTCTAACAGTTAGGACGTTTTCCTGATATTCAGTCTAAATATACCTTCCTGTAACTAGAGCCCATTATTGTGTGTCTTGCATTCTGGGATGACTGAGAATAGATTCTGTCCTTCCTCTGTATGAAAAGCCTTTCAAGTACTTGAAAAGGGCTATAAACGTCCTAACACTTGATGACCTTTAATGGTCCAATAAAGGGATCACCTGCCCTCGTTTCTGTATTGAGTAAGGACCAGCATATGGCGTCTTATGTGTTGTTTTTTTCTCGCCATATGACATCTATGAACCCTTTCACTTGCTGGTAAGGAAGCATCTGACTTCTTTCACTCCCCCATTTGGAAGGTCACTCTGGTGTCAGCGAGTAAGCACCAAGCACGCAAGATGTTTGCCAACTAGAATTTTATTGGCTGCGTAAAATCACTTAGAAGACTCCAAAAGTGGAGCAAGCCTATCTAGATCATTTTGAATTTTGTTCCTGTCTTCCAGTGTGTTAGTTATTCCACACAATTTTGTGTCATCCACAGATTTGATTAGCATTTCCTGTATCCCTTGACCCAAGTCATTAATAAAAAGATTGAATAGCACTGGGCCCAGGACTGAGGCTTGGGATACCTGACTTGTTACGTTCTCCTGGTTTAAGGAGGAGCTATCAATCTGAGTACAATTCTGTAGCCAACTGAGTTGTGTGATTGAACATGCAGTAAATAAGATCTACAGACATTTGCCTCTAAAATTTGTCAACTTGTGTCCAAAATTTACCCTATTTGTGTAACTGCAAAAAGTTTTCGGCTAATGCATGACACAGTTCTCTATCAGGTTGGATTTTGTTCATGTCTCCTGCTAGATGAAAGAACATTCATCTCCTGCAGAGCTTGTGCACATTAATAGTTGACTGCAGTGGTATGTGCATTTTACATTTCTCCTTTACAATGTAAAGCAGTGAGTGTACAGCTTGTATAACAGTGTAAATGTGCTGTCCCCTCAAAATAAAGCAACACACAGCCATTAATGTCTAAACCGCTGGCAACAAAAGTGAGTACACCCCTAAGTGACAATGTCCAAATTGGGCCCAAGTAGCCATTTTCTCTCCCTGGTGTCATGAGACCTGTTAAGTGTCACAAGCCTCCGGTGTGAAGGGGGAGAAGGTGTTATTGCTCTCACTCTCTCAGGCTGGTCACTGGAAGTTCCACATGGCACTTCATGGTAATGAACTGAGGATCTGAAAAAAATAAATTGTTACTCTACATAAAGATGGCCCAGGCTAAAAGAACATTACCAAACCCCCAAAACTGAGCACGGTGGCCAAGACCATACAACAGTTTAACAGGACAGGTTCCACTCAGAACAGGCCTCGCCATGGTCAACCAAAGAAGTTGACTGCTCATGCTCAGCGTCCTATCCAGAGGTTGGCTTTGGGAAATAGATGTATGAGTGCTGCCAGCATTGCTGCAGAGGTTAAAGGAGTGGGGGGGTCAACCTCTCAGTGCTCAGACCATACACCGCACACTGCATCAAATTGGTCTCCAGGGCTATCATCCCAGAAGGAAGCCTCTTCTAAAGATGATGCACAAGAAGGCTCGCATACAATTTGCTGCAGACAAGCAGACTAAGGACATGGATTTCTGGAACCATGTCCTGTGGTCCGATGAGACCAAGATAAACTTATTTTGTTCAGATGGTGTCAAGCGTGTGTGAGGAGTACAAAGGTGAGGAGTACGAAGACAAGTGTGTTGTGCCTACAGTCAAGCATGGTGGTGGGAGTGTCAGGATCTGGGGCTGTATGAGTGCTGCCGGCACTGGGGAGCTACAGTTCATTGAGGGAACCATGAATGCCAACATGTACTGTGACATACTGAAGCAGAGCATGATCCCCACGCTTTGGAAACTGGGCGTCAGGCCAGTATTCCAACATGATAACGACCCCAAACATACCTCCAAAACGACCACTGCCTTGCTAAAGAAGCTGAGGGTAAAGGTGATGGACTGGCCAAACATATCTCCAGACCTAAACTCTATTGAGTATCTGTGGGGCATCCTGAAATGGAAGGCAGAGGTGCACAAGGTCTCTAACATCCACCAGCTCTGTGATGTCGTCATGGAGGAGTAGAAGAGGACTCCAATGGCAACCAGTGAAGCTCTGGTGAACTCTATGCCAAAGAGGGTTAAGGCAGTGCTGGAAAATAATGGTGGCCACACAAAATATTGACACGTTGTGCCCAATTTGGACATTGTCACTTAGGGGTGTACCACTTTTGTTGCCAGCGGTTTAGACATTAATGGCTGTGTGTTGCGGTACTTTGAGGGGACAGCACATTTACGCTGTTATACAAGCTGTATACTCACTGCTTTACATTGTAGTGAAGTGTCATTTCTTCAGTGTTATCACATGAAAAGATACACTAAAATGTTTATGAAATGTGAGGGGGTGTACTCAGTTCTGTGATATACTGTATGTGTGTCTACTAAAAATGTCCCATTGTGTTTATTAAGGCTTATTCCCTTGGTGAGTATATATAGGGTTATGACCTCAGACATCAAGGTCTATGGGTAAGCTGAATGCCACAGATGCTTGTTTGACTTACTGTTCAAGCTTATTGTTTTTCAACTTTCTTATGATACATTTAAGAATAACAACAGTGCGAACTGTTGTTAGATTCTTTCCTGTAGAACAGCGGTCCCCAACATTTTTAACTCCATGGACTGGTTGGGGAAGGCGGGGCAGCCCCACTGCACCCCTGCACATATGTGAAGGAGCAAGCACATGCTTGCGCAGTCACAAAGGGCAGCGGTGTGCTCGGGGGACACTCACGCACACTCACGAAGGGGTGGGGGCATTTGCGTGTGCGTGCACAAAGGGATTGTGTGGGGGGGCGGGAGTGCGTGTGGCGTGGGAGGGAGATCTGTCTCCACGGCCCGGTCCAGCCCAGGCAACAGACCAGCACTGGGCTGCGGACCGGGGGATTGGGGATCCCTGCTGTAGAAGACCAGTTGACTAATTCTGTCTTTGCTTCTTTGCAGACTGGCCCCAATGCGGTTGTATACATTGTCCAAGCGCCACTTTGTCTTGGTCTTTGTAGTCTTCTTTATCTGTTTTGGCTTGACCCTCTTAATTGGAATTGCAGGTAAGATTTTTTAAAGGATGGGTTGTGAAATTTTGCTTTGCTTTGTTGTTGCTTTGAGACAACAACCATTGGCCAGAGGTTCAAGCAGGGCAGATGTCACCTTCCCTGATTGCCATATAAACAACATCTGTGGGCTGAATTAGGCCACCAGGCTGGAGGGTTCCTCTGCTCAATGAGAAGGAAGTCCTATGTTGGAATTTTCTTGGATTGGAGTGTCAGTCCCCCAAACTTTTCTGCAGAATACATTGTGGTTAGTGTGTTTGTTGCACTGTTTTGAGGTTAAGTGAGATAAATTCCTTTATGAAATGGCTCATAAACTGTACATAGTACTTTGGGCCACGCTGGAAGTGTGGACCTGACTTTTAGAACTTCGGCAATGCTTTAATTTGTTTTTCCTCCTATATATTTACTTAGGCCAACTGATATGTTGACTCAACTCCAACAACTGTTTGCTCTTAAATGCTGCTATAGCAAGGTCATTTTAAGAAGCCCCTCCCCCTATTTCTATTTCTTGAAAAGAAAATGACAGTTCTGGTGCAGCAAAATTAGAACTGATAAGAACAGCTGGGAGAGAGGAGATAAAAAGAGGCATGGACAAAGGGTAGTTTTCCTCCATAGCAAAGGTCACAGGTTGGGATCTACATGTTTTGGTTAGCTTGGTAGCTGGCCAACATTTTTTTCTTGCCACATCCTTCCCTGCCTGCTGTATAGGTGGGGGCACAGGGTTAAAGATCCGGATTCCCTGTGTGGCAAAGGAACTCCTGTCCTTCTCCTCTGTTCTGAGTTAGGAAGGGAAATCAGGACCATGTCCATGTTGCCTTGAACCTCAGAAATGCTCAAAATCCACAAAGAATTCTCACTGTTTTCAGTGCCACTAAGGCATTGAAGAGAGGTTGCGCACATTTCCTGAGCTTGCAAATGAGTGAATTATGCTTGTAAATGCTGACCCCAACAGATTAAAAGATCTGGTGACCCTTGATAAGCTCATTGAATGCATATATAGTCCCTTAAGTGGCACTGAGCCTTGACAGGTGCTTCCCTCTCCCACTATGTTCAGTTCTGGAGACAGATTAGTTATTGTCCTTTTCCTGATGCTTGGAAGGGGCGATAACTATGCTGCTTCAATACAGCTGGGAAACTTTTTAAAAATGTCTTTCTTTTAGCACCCATGTGCTTGTCCCTTCTGACTCTCAGTATTCTCAGAATGTCCCCATGTCCAGTTAGTATTCTACTTCTGTGGGCATTTTCCCAATTAAAAACCCATCACATAGCGGAAAGGAAAAGAGCACAGGCTTAGTCAAGAGCAATGCTTAGAAATAATTGCCATTGATTCTTTTTCCAGTCGTGACAGTGTAGCTGCATTACATTATAATTGTAACTTCATGGGGGATAAGTTTTACCCTTTTACGACATAACTGTAACTTTGTTGTTACTTTCATAATTATGGGAATATGACCTTGGTGCTGATGTGGGAATAATATGCTTGGCTTAATTCTGGCAAAGACATTTATGTTCTTGGAGCAGAATATGGGCAATCCTGTGTTTTCTTGGTTCAAGTACTGGTTCCTGCTGTGCCTTGAGGTTCTGTTTTATGCTGCATTGTGAGCATTGAAGTGACAATGTGGCAGATGGGAGGACAGCATGTCTTGTACCACAGGCCAGTGGTTTATAATATTCTGTAGATTTTTGAGTACCTAATTTAATTACTTATGAGAAACAGTAAAGAGCCACTGTCACTAATTACATTTCAAAGTTTTTTATTTATGGCTTATAAGTGAATGCATGCCAGGACACATTTGATTAAGATTCCCTTTTGCTGTTATGGCTGACAGTCATGCTTGGACATTTTGAAAATTCACACCAGTGTACCTTTATTGGACTAACCAAGATAATGGACAAGGTTTTTGAGTTCTTTAGAACTCTTTAGCAAATTGGATGTTAAACATCTCATGGAAAGTCAGGGCATTTACTCACAAATGTATGGAACATGGGAGGAGACAGCAGAATGGAAGACATCTGGCTCTACTAGATGTTGTTGTACCATCCTTGGGTAGCAGCTAGAGCTGAGATAATAGTGAAATTTACCACATTTAGAAAAAACAGAATACAGCTGTTGCCAGATCTGTTTCCTTCCTCCGGCAGGACACAGGTACTACTTGGTACATGGTAGATACACATGGAGCTCTTAAAATTAAGTGTTGGGGTGATTGTTCAGTCTCCTGCCTGTATTGTATAAGTTAAATGATGTGCTGTATTATTGTGTGATGAAATGCCTGTTGTTGTTTTTTAAATGCTTTTGGCATTTATAGTATCTGGTAGTGTTGGAATGTAGAGTTAGGCTCTTAGGTTAGATAGAGCCTGCTGTACTGTAGAATTCCATGGGCAGTGCACATAAGACAGTGGTTGCCAACTTTGGGTAACCCAGCTGTTCTTGGACTGCAGCTCCCAGATGCCTTCACCACTAGTTGTGCTGGCCAGAGTTTCTGAGAGTTGCAGTCCAAGAAACTTGGGTTACGCATGATGGGAACCACTGATGTAAGAGGCTTCATTGTTTGATATGTGTACAGTGGTGCCTCACTTAACGATTGCCTTGTTAAACAACGAAACCGCTATACGATGACTGTTTTGCGATCACTTTTGCGATCGCAAAATGATGTTTTAATAGGCAAAATTCGCTCCCCAACTATCTGTTCCCTGCTTCGGGAACTGATTTTTCGCTAGACGATGTTTTTAAAACAAATTTGCCGCCCGCTGTGTAAAGTGGCTCCCCGCTGTGTTTTTGGATGGATTCCTCGCTTTACAGGCACGGAAGATGGCCGCCTCTATGGAGGATCTTCGCTGGATGGTGAGTTTTCAGCCCATTGGAACGCATTGAACAGGTTTTCAATCCGTTTCAATGGGATTTTTTATGTTGCTTAATGAGGATTTCGCTCTACAACGATTTCGCTGGTATGGATTATCCTCGTTAAGCGAGGCACCACTGTATATCTAAAATCAAGTGATGTTTGTTGTTCCTAACAGAGCCTCTTATGACAGAATTATTATATAAGTCTGCCACTCTTAAAATACTCAGTTATAAAGGTTAGTGTTGGCCTGTCATGCTGTAACAGCTACTTGCAAATTGAATCTTCTGTCTTTGTATATCTTATAGGTCCCAATGTCATTGATTCCATTTCACAAACAACTTGGAATAATAATTCCAAGGTAAGTAGTTTGTAGGCTCAACTGTTGTTCATCCTGATGTTTCCTGGGGGAGTGGGTGTACCTTGAGGCAATACCCCAGCTAACTGCCATTGCTCAGCCAGGTTGGACCTTGATCTTGCAGACTTAATAGACTGTCTTGTTCCCACATTGCCATCCCTTGGTCCGTGGTCAGCTGCTGCCCAGTCACACTCTAGCCATGGAATCCATTTCCAGGTAATTCTGTGGTATTTGTAGGTGCCCTGAATCTATTACCTAGCAACAATGCCTGTCATAAGGCTTAATTCCACAAAAGATATTTATGTTCTTGGCACAGAATATGGGTAATTTTTTGTTTTCTTAAATGGAGTATAAACTATCACAAGAAAAAGAATGAGGGTTAAAGATGAGGGACACAGGAGAATGTGTTTATGTTTTATGACATTGCTTTAGCAAGCCATGATCTCCAGCTGTTCTAAGATTGTTCTCAGAACTATTCTCAGCTCTGGTTTCTGAAAGTTTCATGCTTTTGAGGGCTGATCAATTAAATATGACTCAGCCCCACCAAGAGGGCTGAGTCATTTTTAATTACTGTCTGTTACATAGACAGTAAGATATAGTCAATTCAAGCTTGGAAGTAGCACATTATAAGTGACAATGTTACCTGTAGTGTATTCTTTTGGGGGGTAAGAAGGTGGAAATAATACCAGTTTTTAAAATTAATGAAACAATCGGCAACATAATAATCTTTTTCCTATAACAAGTCATGTTTATTTTTCACATGGTTAATGAATAACATAGCATTTTTAAAAAATCATGTTCCAAGCTCTAATCCAGAGGAGTTAGCTCTGTGATACAGTGTATTCTCAGTGATATCAGTAGTGGCCCTGTTTTGCTGAATTTCTTAGACCCCACCCGCTGTAGCATTGTAGCAAAGAGGCGGTCTTGTTTTGGCCTAAGAATTGAATGATTCTCCATCTTTGCCATAAAGCATTGGCCTCTCGTTTACTGTGACATAGAAGACTTTTCCTACTCACTTCCTCATTCTACCCTACTTAAATGGAAATGCTGTAAACAAAAATTTAGTCTCTGTAGCTTCTCTGGAACAAGTGTCGTAGCCAGACAGTATCTGATGTGGAAATGCTACAGTGCATGGTAGAATTCATGGCGTGGAAACAGGAATATCTTTAGTTTCTGATCTTGTGTAGCAACATTTGTAAGACTTCTTTCTGGCTCCTGGTAAATCACTGCTAGAGTAGCTTTTAAAATGGTCACAGTCTAGTTCTGTATAAGACAGCTCTATATATTAGCTCATGCAGTCTACGACTGACCCTAAAAATAACACCTATTGGCAAGGGTGGGGACTTGAGTCGCAAAACTCAGTAGCAAGTCAGACTTAAGTCACAACCATGACTTGACTCAGGCTCAATTCAGTCCCTGTCCCCCCCCCTTTCTATAGCATTATTGACTTTTCTAATGAGTCTTCTGTTCTTATGACATGGCCAAAGGACAGCAGCCTCAGTTTCATCATTTTAATAATAATACTGTAATAATTTATTGTCATTGTAAGTATATACACATACAACGAAATTGCTTCTGGAGAGAGTTCAGGCTTGATTTGAGATTTTATTTATTTATTTATTTATTTATTCATTCATTCATTCATTCATTCATTCATTCATTCATTCATTCATTCGATTTTTACCCTGCCCCTCTAGACAACGTCTACTCGTTGGATCCACTCATTTATCTTTCTGGCAGCCCATAGTTTGAATGAATGTATTCTTTTCCTGCCAGCTTTCTTCACTGTCCAGCTTTCATACTCATGACTGAAATCCTTTTGTGTAAGTTAAGGTGCATAAGGCAGATGATGTCATCAACTGCAGTATTTCTTTTTTTAAAAAATTCCTATTTATGCCCCAAAGTCCCAAGGCTCCTGTCAACTCATTTTCATGCTCAGAAAGCCATTGGGAGCTGTAGGATGGGAGGAGGAAGTCTTTACCCAGAATTATCACCACACATAAAGTTGTCCAGGTTATCTGCAAAGCTATCTTCCAGCATAGCATTTCAAGCAAATTATTTTTTTCTCTCTTGGCTTTTTTCGCTGTCTTGCTCAGTGGTTCCCAACCTTGGGCCCCCAGGTGTTCTTGGACTACATCTCTCAGAAATCCTGGCCAGCACAGCTAGTGGTGGAGACTTCCGGGAGTTTTGGTTCAAGAACACCTGGGAACCCACTGGTCTGGCTTTCTTCTCTATACATAGTAATCGAGAATACATATATGTGGATGATCTTGGCCTTGGTCTGTAGTGATGGATCCCTGCACTTGATCATCTTTTGTAATTGTTGCTCTTCTGAGTCTCATCTTCTTCTCATTTCTTGGCTGCACTTTCCATTAATATTGATGATTGAACCGAACTATACAAAATCATTAGCAGTTTCAATTTCTTTGTTGTCAGCATTGAAGTTATATAGTTCCTCTGTATTACAGTCCCATTTTTGCACTTTTCTTCTTTCATTTTTATCAGGAGTTCATTTCAAATCACTGCTCTTTTCTGCCAGTAAAATAGTGTCATCTGCACATCTTTTAAGTTATTGATGTTTCATGACGCCTTAATCTGAATTTTCACTCCTCCCTCATCTGAATCTAACCCAGTTTTCTGTATATTTTCTGCAGACAGATTGAACAGGTAGGGAGATAAAATACAGTCTTCTCTGGCACTTTTCTCTATGGGAAACCATTCTGCTTCTTCCAATTTCTTATTCATACAAGTTATATTTATGTTCTATAAGTGACATGTAGATTGCTCTTTTGCTTATGAGAGAGTTTTTATGTATGCCCCTTACTAGTAAACTCTTCTATCTGATCTTGGATTAGAGAATGTTTTTACTATTAATAGTTAATAGGAAGATGGTAGTCAGATTTATGCAAGATTTTTCAGTCACAGGCCTTAACTTACTCATTAGATCTAAAATAGTGAATACACTGAAATACTCAGTGTGCTTTAACATTTGTTTTCGTTTTATTCTAGATAAAGCTGTTTAACATAAGTTCACAACCATTATCTACTTACAATCAACAGTTATGGCTGATGTGTAGAATACAATTGGGCCCACCTTATGGTAAGAGTATTATTTAGTATACTTTGGCTTACAGTTTAACTGTGCTATATTATTTATATGGAACAACATACAGTGGTGCCTCACTTAACGATTGCCCCGCATTACGACGAATCCGCTTTACGACAATCTTTTTGTGATCGCAATTGGATTATCATCAAGCGAGGTGCCACTGTACATAAACCTGTGAATGTGTGTCTAATGCCTGTGCAACATGGAGTATGCGGACTGTACATGATGTATCAGTTTTGTATTGCAGTTTATCTGGTGCAGCCTACATCCTCTAGAACAGTGGTCCCCAACCTCGGGTCTCCAGATGTTCTTAGACTTCAGCTCCCAGAAATCTTGGCCAGCAGAGGTGGTGGTGAAGGCTTCTAGGAGTTGTAGTCTAAGAACATCTGGAGGCCCAAAGTTGGAGACCACTGCTCTAGAAGGTAAAAGAAAGGAAGATGTGTCCAGCATGGACTGGGCTGTACTATATTGCTGATGGAGTGGGTTAACAAAAAAGCAGCTTTTGAAATTTTTGGAGAAGGAAAATTGTTTTGAAAACAAAGTGCACTAAAAACATACTGTGGAATTTGCATAAAGCGTATAAGGGCTTTGCAGTACTGTAGTCTTTTTAGTTGCAGGGAAGTGGCAGCAACCTACAATACACATGGCATAATCTATGCATATATGTGTAAATACTATGTATTTTTTGCATAATTGTTTTACCTGTTTTATATATTAATGAATCAATTATAGCAAATGCTAAATCAAAGTCCACCAATAGGTGCATTAGAGGAATGGGGCAACTTGTCCTTAGAATGAATTGTAAGCAAAGTTTCACAAGATAGGTGCTGTCACGGTTTTCTTTCCAGGAATGTAATCTTTCCCACCCACTGCTGAGAGTAATAAAAGGCAAAATGGTAGACATGCAGAAGTTAAGACCTATATGTAAGGCAAGGAACTTGTGTTCAGGAGGAGGGGGATACTTGTTTGGCATGGCTTAGTAAACTAAACTGAAAACTATAAATCTTGCCCAGGTTGTGCTCAGACTTCTGAGCTACTGCTATTGCAATGAGGTCTAGAAATCTGCATTTTAAAAGGCTACCTAAATTGCTCCATTCTATTACAATTATCATATCTATATGCTAAACCTGCAGGATCATGCAATAGGCCTAGACTCTGGAATTGTGTTCTACAATGTGTTTTTAATATATATTTTATTGAGCATTTTTAAATATAATACTTGTTTAATTGTAATTCTTTTAAAATATTTGTATACTTAGTGTTTTTAGTGTTTAAATATTATCTTAATTGTAAGCTGCCTTGGGTCTTTTTAAGGAGAAAGGTGAGGTAAAAATATTTCAAATAAATAAATACTTATATGAGTGGTTTCTGGTATGTTCCTCTTCTTGTTTGTGCTGTTATATTGGTGCTGTTGTCTTCCATGCAAGTGCAAATAAAGAATACTGAGAAATTAAAGGGTGTCTTGCCCTTTTACCAAGACTATCTCCTTGCTCTCAGAAGAGCACAGATAGTGGCAAGTTGTTCCTAAGAGATTATTAATAGTGATAATAGTGATAACCTGGTGTCAGGGAGGTCAAGATGGAAGATGGACTAGAGTCTCTTTTCTCTTTAGCAGAAATCAAATGATGCAGCTTCTTATAGCAAGTTTCAAAATGTGCTGACTTTAAGGTTATCTGCTACTGACTGGACCACTGATTCTGTAGTATAATTCATAAATTTTTACTGCATCTTCTATCCTGTTTCAAGTTTTACCCCAATCTGCATCTTCTAACAACTGAAATTTCTTGTTTTTGATTTTTAAAAATTCAGATGAGAAATGGAAGAACTTGAAAGTAAACTTCAATATGCTTGTTACAATACGTGGTGTAATAGACAATGCGAGTGTAAATTATTTCAACAAGGAAAAACACAATCGGACAAGGACACTCAGCTGTGCAGAGGTGAGTGTATTGTGAAAGTTTCTTATGCAGGAGTTAATGGGAGGAGGTGTTTGCCATCATTCATATACTGGTAGTGAAGCTCTTTTAATAATATGAGATCCCAGGTTCAAAATTTAACATTTCAGGAACCAATGTCAGGTGGTAGTGATGTTGTATTGTGTTGGGTAAATTAAATCAATTAAAAAAGAAAAAAGGAGGGTGGAGAAGGGTGCTATCTAAATTGTTAGTAGGGGGCATTAAAGGGGAGGGAAAATTGTTAGATCAAGGTGCCTTCTGCTCTCACAACCGTTGGGTGTCACTTCTTGTTTCCTACTTCTTCTTTTGGCCCATGTTTCCAGTACAGTTCGGTGGTTCTAGTCTTTCCACAGGCATTGAAAGCAACTGGTGGCCCAGATGCATGTCTGTACCTCATTAGCTTATGATAGAAGTGGGCAGCTGTGCCCCTTCAGATGTTATTAGATATCAATTCCCATTGGGTATGCTAGTGAGGGCTGATGGGAGTTGCAGTCTGGGAACATGTGGAAGGCCACAGTTTACCACTCTGTCCTTATAGTTCCAACAGTGTATACTGACACTCAATGTGCTTTTTGTTCTCATTGTCTTTGTGTTGATTTCTCCGGCATTCTCTCTTCCCACCCACGCCCATGTGTGTTCATAGCAATGTGCTGACATTATTGTGGTTCATCTTGGTTTCCTGAACTACACTCGTTATGATGTCTCAGTCAGCTTTGAGAACCTCCCTCCCTTCTACAATATCAAGAGTTATACATTTACGGTGAGTATAAACAAAGTCAAACAGAAAATGAAAGTTTCACTTTAATTGAAAATCTCTGTAATGTCATTGTAATAGTGGAGGTTACATTAATTCTCAAGGAAGGAGCTGTAGCTGAGGAGGAAGAGACGTCTTTCTCAAACAGGTGTAACATTTGTATTTTGAAAGAGACCTTTTAAACTTTTCTCGTGGAGTGACCAAAATGCTCATTCAGTGTTGTAATGACAGACTAAATGATGGTACTGTACTTGATTGTTTCTGCTCTTGATGTGACTCCAGGATGAAAGCAAAAAGTTAGTTTATTTAATCAGGACTTACACTCTTTGGAGTTTGGCTGGCGTTAGAAGCAAGTTGCCACATAGCCATTGTCTATCACTCCAGTGCCATCTCTTGTGTGTCCTTTCGGATTGGGGGATGCTTCAGAACCATATAGGAAGCACTACTGGAGGTTGCAATGAAATTGGTGACTTGCTCCCTTCTGTAGGATCCTGGTTTCATCCACGAAGAAAACCAGTCATGGAGGGCCAGACTCAATCCCACTGTTTTATTTTTACAAACAAAAATGGAAGAATATTATTTCTCTTAAGATGTCAGGTTGCACATGTGGGTTCTGTTGCGTTTCAAAAGAATTTGTTAAATTCTAGAGTGTGTTAAACGTAATCTATAAAAATTAAGTTTGAATATGCATTATGCAGAAGTACAAGCCAGATTTTGGTCATTTTAATTTCAGTCTATATCCCATCTTTCTGTCAGTGGTATCCAAGGCACCTAACAGTATAACAAAATTGGTGTATGTATTAAAACATAAAAGAACAGGTAACAAAAATGGATTAAAAGGCCAATTTTTTTTTCAAAAAGCTGTAAGTTTTTTCTGATGGCTCAAATCATTTTCCACATTAAAATGTAATTATATGGCATTGCAAGGACTGCAGAGAGAGGAACCTCTTAGGAGAAAAAAATTATCAGCTGGGCCACTGAAAGAAACATCTCTCCAATAGACACTCTTCAGAATTTGGCAGGCTGAAGAGCAGAATTTCTCTGGACGGTCTCAGTACAGAAGACCAGGTTAATGTGGGTGAAAGCTTTTTCTTTTAAATTTGTGAATTGCATCCCTGAGATCCACATTAGAAGGGCTATTGGAAAAATTAACAAATCAGAAATTTGTCACGGACCTTGATCCTATAGTCTGTTGTCGACTAGTGCCAAAAGACAGACTGGCATTCAGGTTTCAAGCAGCAATCCTTGTACAGCAAATAAACAGGCTTTAAAGCAGTGTTTTCCAACCTGGAAGTCATGACCCCCAAAGGGGGTCACAAAATGTTTTCTGGAGGGCTGTGAGTTCTCATTGTCTTTGTGTTGATTTCTCCGCCATAATTTATTAAATTATTATTAAATAATTTTTTAATAATTTCTTCCTTGACCTTTTGGAGCAGGATATTAAAATTAGCATGTCTGTATGTATGAGAAACAGGCCCTTTTGGGGGGAGAGAGAAGCCTCTACTTTCTGAGAAGTGGTGACGTAACCCCATTAAAATGCCTTTTTATACAAATGTGGCGGGAGGGTCACTCTTAAAGGTCTGCCTTAAATGGCCAATAGTAAAGGAGTAAATTCTTGTAGTCCAAAGCATCTGGAGAGCCAAAGACTTCTCAGCCCTAAAGGCAGATGAATCCCCTTATCAAGACAAAAAGCGAATTATAAATAAGACCAAAAAAAGTTACTATTATACGTTTTTCAAAGCATATTTCAAACTAGATAAAATCTGCATAGAAAAGAATTGAATTACTGAGTTTATGTGGAATAAAACCTTTATAAATATTTTGGTATGCCTCCAGTCTTGTTTACCAAGGGCAGCTTTAGCTATTATAAATGTGAAAGAGGGAGACTGTATTAATTTTGGTTTCCTTGGATTTCTCATAACAAAGTACAGTGAAATGGTACTTCTGTAGTATGGGAACTGCTTTTGACCTCATTCCTCCCAAGGCAGATTAATTTTGATCACCAAAAGAAAACCCTGATCCAGACTAGTTTCCCCTGGGATTATTTCATGGAAATATTTCATATGAAATGTATATTTCTTAAACAGAGGTATAAATTATAGTTACAATGGGTTAATTTATGACCACAACCACTATGAGAATACACATTGTGTAATTTTTTAGATTACTTTATTGATTTAAGAAATAGAAGAACATAGCACACTAATTTGTGGCAAGTTGGGATGCTGCGTCACTACCCTGTTTCCCTGAAAATGACCTAAGCTGAAAATAAGCCCTAGTATGATTTTTTAGGATGCTCGTAATATAAGCCCTACACCCCAAAATAAGCCCTAGTTAAATGAAAGCCCACCCTCCATCATTTTGCAGCCACCAGAAGAAGATGACATGACTGTATTTGAATAAATGTAGATTGTTGTACACGGAAAAAATAAAACATCCCCTGAAAATAAACCTGGTGCTTTTTTTGGAGCAAAATTTAATATAAAACCCTCTCTTATTTTTGGGGAAACACGGTATCTTGGGAAAGATATAAGTAAATTGCTTGCAGAAACATAAATGCACTCACTTTTTAAACCAAAATTAAATATATAATATGCAGCTTTGCTAGCTGATGATTGACCTTTTGAAGAGAGATACTTTCATATTTCAGTAATTGCCATTTGCCCACCCACTGGCTCCTAGGTGCTGTACATAGGTGTAATACCTGGGGAAATCCAGGGGAACAATGGAGAGAGCAGACGTGGAAAAGGCATCAGAAGCCCATATGGATTCAGCTTCTGGTGGGATTTCAACTGAGCATCCAAGGGCCAACATTTAGAGTGCTGTATTATTTCCTGTATTCTCCCTCTAACATAAGTAGCTTCCTGTCTTGCTTCACCCATCTCCACTCATACGATCACAGCTTCAGTCAGTCTCAGGTGATGAGACAGAGCTATCCATTTAAATGAAATGATAACTATAAGTTTAGCTGGCATGTTTTGTGTGCCATTTAATTACACCTTTTTAATGAGTCAGATGAGAAATGTACTAATTTATTTAAAAATCAAAAATAGATCTAAAATTGTATAAAATCTGGGTTTTATTTATTTTTAAAGGACAATTATTATTCATCCTGATTCTCCCTATACCACTCTTAATATGTTGGGGAATATGCAGCACATAGGTAATATGACTGTTTCTATGAGACCCTTCCCATCCCTTATGCAGTGCTGAGATTATGCTAACAGTAATCATGTCAAAATGCCTCAGATGCTCAGAGGTAATATGTGAGTTAGTCTCTGTCTTTCCATGGGAAGTAGTAAAGAAGAATCCCTAACCCTTACAATATTGTAATCAGTTTTGGTGAATAATCAGGGACAACTAGCTAGCAAGTACCTTTGCTAACTGTCAGTAAGTTTGTAAAGTGTTATTGATGCCATCTGTGGTCCTGGAGCAGTTTAAATTTGGGTTTACTTTGTTGCTATACTATTTTTTCTTTCAGTGGAAAACCTACAATCCATCTTTCTCACAAGTGGAAATCTGGTTCCGATTTGTCTTTGTAGTTCTCACCTTCATAGTCACAGTGAGTATTGGCTCCTTGGTTTATTCTGATAAAAGGTTTAGAGACGTTTCTAGAGCATTTATAGTGTTAAGACAGCTTGATTAAATCATACATAAGGAAGGCTGTGATGTTTGGTAACTAACATTAGGCTAGTAGCTGATTTTTTAATGCATGTTGTTCATCTGGTCTCTTCATTTGCTTTGTTGTTCATTCTGTTGTGTTTAACCTCGTTTATATTGGATCTTTAAAAAAGATAATAACTGAGGTAAAAATGTTCCCGTCCATGCTTAACAAAACCTACACTGACTGAATTTGTGTAAAAATGCTTTTTTGCAAGAGGGAGTCAGGTAGGAAAGCAGGCATAGGAAAATGGCTAAAAGTATAGACAGGAAACAAAACATTGTGTGCAATAAGGGAAGAAGAGAAATATAGTAAAAGAAGAGATTTTGTTCACTTAAGCGAGGCACCACTGTATAGTAAAAGAAGAGATTTTGTACATGATGCCACACCCTGCACACATGATGGTTTGGGCGAGCTTCTGTTAAACAGATTTCTTGGCACCATTATTTTTCTAAAGGCACTAAGTAGACAAAGGATATTTATGCCATTTATGCTTTCTTCCTGCAATCAGTTGCTTTGATATCTAAAAAGCACAAGAAATATTTTCAGAGCTTGCTCTTTAATTTTGCACCTGTTCTGTTTTATGATCTCTCCTTTTTTGTTGTTGTTTTTGAGACAACTGGGCATTGCTGTATCTTTTCTTCTTCTTTTGCAGTGTCTCTTCGCACACTCTCTGCGCAAGTTCTCCATGCGGGATTGGGGGATTGAGCAGAAGTGGATGTCCATCCTCCTCCCACTGCTGTTGCTGTATAATGGTATCTATCTGGAGGACTTCGTATAGCTATGATTGGTTTCTGGAGCTATATTCAATGAATGTTTTTATTACGTGGGTGGGGGAAAAATAAGCAATCAGTGGCCCAAATCCTGTGGTGTTGTTACACATGTGGCTCCTTGCTGGCAATTAATGAGTTCTTGCTTGGATTCCTGTGGTGTTGTTACACATGTGGCTCCTTCCTGGCAATTAATGAGTCCTTGCTTGGATTTTTGGGATTGTACAAACCCACAGGATTGGTGTGCACCCATAAATCCAAGAAGGACTCATTTTGTGAAAACCCCCAGCGAGGGTGCCAGCCGGATTTTAGTGGGGAGTGTGTTCCACAGCCGAGGGGCAACCGCCGAGAAGGCCCGGTTTCTTGTTTTCTCCTTCCGGGAGATGTGTACAAACCCGCAGGATTGGTGTGTACCCATAAATCCAAGAAGGACTCATTCATTAGCTGCAAGAAGCAACTGCAAGTTACACCATGTGCCATTCACAGACTTAACTAAGCAACATCATTTTGTCATTCATTAGCTGCAAGAAGCAACTGCAATTTACACCATCTGCCATTCACAGACTTAACTAAGTAACATCATTTTGGCCAATGTATATATATATCAATTTTATTAATGTCTCTTTGTATTTTGAACTGTCGGGGGAGGGGAATTTAGTCTGAGAGACAGTCTGATACAGTGCAGGGGTGGGGAAGCTTTTGCCCTCCAGATGTTTTGGACTATAGCTCTCAGAGGCCTGAGCCAGCATGGTCAGTAAAAGGGTTACTGAAGTAGAAGTCTAAAAATCATGAAGGCCAGAGATTTTCAATATCTGATCCAGTGAGGAGATTCCAGGTAATCCCAAACTTGTTCATACTTTTTAATCTGCACTGTTAGCAGTACGGTGCCCAAAGTAGCTATCAATAAAATCTAACTATTGCAGAATAATAAATTAAAATATAATAATAGAATTAAGAACATGTAGCAAAAGCATTTAAAAAGCAAGAGCAGATTTTTAAAAATAACTATTTTAAAATATAACACTATCATCAAGGAGCAGGAGTGCCCAAGCAATGCAAGAGGCCAAAAGCCTCTGTTTTTAAGAAGGGGAGGAGGGATTTGGAAGACTTTTGAGAAGGGCTTCTTGAGGGGAAAAGTTCCAGAGTTATAGAGCAGCCTTACAACTAATTATAAATGTTCCAGTGTAGGTTGCCAGTCTATGCTCTGTTTTTAGTATGTTTCCCTTGGGTGCAACAACCTTTTCCCCCTTCATTCAGGTAATCTCAAGTGCCTGATAATCCTCAGGAACAAGGAAAGGTTGCGATTCCTTTTAGCCGTGTAGGTTCTGGGCTTCTCCAAAGCTTGCAGGGGGATTCCTCCTCAGTTTCCTGAACCACAAGCCACTGGGTTCAGGAGGGTACCATGACCCTTGATAGGAGATTGGGAACTGGAGTAACATGCTGAGTAAGTAGGTGTTGTGAAAGTTAGGTTCTGCTAGTCTTGTTATGTGTGCTGTGCTTTGGATCTCAGTCCAGCTTTTATAGGAGGAATTATATCACTACATTTCTTCTAAGAACACTGTAGAAACTAGAATGTGTGCTAAAACTGGTACATGGAAGGGCACTTTCCACGTTGCATTGTATCAGTTCTTCCTTCCATTAGCTTAAACTGGGGAGTGGCTTGGGGAATATAATGACCCTTTGAAGAGGCAGGGTATGTCTTATGACCCTCTTTGATGTGTTCTGTTGCAGATCCATTTTTCCCCCTCTCATTCCTCATCAACAGTTGGTTTCCTGGGATGTTGGATGACCTCTTCCAGTCTTTGTTCCTCTGTGCGTTGCTTCTCTTCTGGCTCTGCGTCTACCATGGGATCAGAGTCCAGGTGAGGGAATGATTATAATTCAGCATCATTTACATTCTGTCTTTTATTTTTCAAAAATGATTTCCCTACATTCTTCACTTTTTATACTGGATAAACATTTTTGTCAAAACCTTTTTAGGATAAATAGATTTAAGAGAATCTAATTGCAAAGGGGTCAGCAAAATGGTTTTGCATCCGAAACAGTGAGGTTCCTTTACTTAGCAACATTTTTATCCTGCCGTTCCTCCAGGGACCTCAAAGTAAGTGTTATTAAACCTCTTAGAACCCTGTCAGGTGGGTCAGGCAGATGTGATGCATTAAGAATTCCAAGTGAGCTTCTTATCTGAGCAGGGATTTGAGCTCTTGTCGCTGTGGGCCAACTCCAGTATATAGTTATAGCTGTGTAGTTAGTTCCCCCTGCTCTCATCTACTTGTGTTTCAATCCACAAATGAAAATGCATAACCTGAGATCTCCCTATAGTAATAAAGATCACAAACACAAGGCAGGACCTTATAGTACTGTTTTGCTGGTCGAACTGCTTCAGAAAGTGTAAGCAAGAGATGTGTGGTCCCCATCTCCCTGAACACGTCCACCTGCCCTCAGAATTTGCTCTGATGTACTGGAGTGTCCTCCCTACATCTGGGCAGCTCAGAGGGCTGCAAAAGAGAAGGAAGAGGTAGAATATTCCATTGTAATAGCATTTTAAAAACCCACTGGATCTAGAATAACAAAACTTCATATCTAAATAATCCCTATATTATATTGGGGTATAAAATTACTTTTCTCAGTGTGGTGTAGTGGATAGAATGATGGACTAGAACTCAGGAGACCTCGATTTGAATGTGTGCTCAACCATGGAAATTCACCAGCAGGTATGGAACTGGCAAAACCAACTACTTAAATATCCCATTTACCTATTAGGATTTCTATAAACTGGTTCTGACTTGACAGCATGTAATATGGAATATACAGTTACAATTATGTGAGTGTTTAAATATAGAACTTCTGAGTTACTGTATATTCAGTGAATATAGTCAATTACATGTCTAGGTTTGATCAGTATCAAAACTCTGACCTATTATATCTATTTAAAAGCAAGGTCTTTTCCTAGTTCATCCAAAAGGAGCTTCTCTTCTGCAAGCAGGGTGTGGAACAGCCAGGATACCAACTGGATCTAGCTCCTGAAGCAATGTTTTGTATGCCCCATGGCCGTGTGTAGGAATACTATGTGGCCCATTTTAGCATTAAACATTCCAAAGAAGTCTCATGCATCATCAGGTCTCAAGCCTTGGGAGGCTTTCACTGAAGAGTCAACTAAGAGTAAATAAATAAATAAATACAAATAATTAAATGGACATCTGGTTATTTGGCAGCACTTTCATTAGAAGGTGAAAACAAAAGTAACCATGTGTGGCTTTTTCTTGTCATAACATTTAGATGAAAAAAATTACCCTCTTAAGTAGAAAAGAACACCTGGTTGCAGTCTTGAACATGAGGCTCATGTTTGGAGAGTAGGCAGTACTTTGAGGGCAGAGGCAAGGCCCTGTAGCCCTGAATACAAATTCGAGTTTTTATTAAAGCTGAGGAACAGCAAACTCTGACATGGATTTTTGCTAACCTTGCTTCCAGCCTCCTAAGAGTTTGTTTAGTTCATGTCTGAAAAATCAAGTTTAGTATTCTTAATTTGTCTTTTCTCTTTTTAGGGAGAAAGGAAGTTTTTAACGTTCTATTTTCCTAAACTCTTCATTGTTGGTCTTCTGTGGCTGGCTTCTGTTACATTAGGAATATGGCAGACGTAAGTAATTCCCTGCTTTCCACTATTTCAACAAAGAAAGCAGTGCTTTTAATGCAAGGATAGGAAGTATGTTGCCCTCTGGATATTGCTTCATTAGGTATGTTGGTTAGGGCTGTTGGGAGTTAAACTCCAACCCCTGGATGACTGCATGCTGCCTTTCATTCCAGGGAGCATTTCCAGTCTTGCTTCCAGTTGTTTCTCAAAGGCAAAGTTTCTGCTCCTCTGTTCTGCTCCTTTGCTTCACTAATTTAGAAATTTCTCAAATGACTGCTGTGTTCATACGTGCGCTGATCAATGATGTTAAAACAGCTTTTGTTTAGCGGTACTGATTGCCTACCCTATTTACATATGTCTGGTCTTTTTCTGTTATTATTGTAAATCACAGCTTTCATTTTAAACTTGCCTTCAATAATTGATATTTCTAATTAATGATGCTCCCAACAGTTCTTATTATAGATAACATACTTATCATAGACAATGTTATCTATGTTTCTATGGCTTCCATTCTCTCTAAAGTGCTTCAGTTCTCTACCTTGATGAAGGAAAGAATTAAATCTATTATATAACTTGAATAAACAAATTTATTTAAGTGGTAATAGCAGAAAAATTTGACTGAATTCATTTTTTGAAAGTTTCAGTAGAATTTATAATTTCATGATTTTTACTGCTCTCATTCTGAGTTATAGAGCACATATTAATAGATTACAATGTTATAGAGCATATATTAATTGTTTATGGTGTTCTGTAATATGTTTTAATTAGGAAATATATTGTGATCATTAGTGTTAAAATGTTTTTTATTTTCAAGGAGGTAGGTATTTATTTTTATTGTAGTAAAACTGAAGCTGAAATGTGAACGCCAATTTTAGTTCACGAAGCATATCACGGAGACAACTAAATACTGTATTTTTCGCCCCATAAGACGCACCTCTCCATAAGACGCACCAAATTTTTAGGAGAAGAAAACAGGGAAAAATTAATCTGTTTTCTTCTCCTAAAAATTTGGTGAGCCTTATGGAGAGGTCCGTCTTATGGAACACACCCTAGCCCCCTCTGGGGGGAGCCTCCAAAGGGTCCTAGGGTGTGTTCCAGGACCCTTTGGAGGCTCACCCTGCCCCCCCATGGGGTCAAAGGGGGCGAAATCATCACCTTCAGGCACTCTTCTGAAGCTTCTCAAGAGTCCCAGAACGTGGCAATTTTGCCCCCTCCGGGCCCGTAGAGGGGTGGGGGAGCCTCCCAATGGTCCTGGAAGGCAGAGCAAAAAATATGGTACATGCATCAGAAGAGAAGCTGAAAACCAGTGTTTTCATAATATATAAATACAGGGGTAAGAAAATGTAAGATGTATAGATATGAGTCACGGGTATATAAAAATGTAACAGAACCTGTTTAGCACAAGTAGGTCTATGATTTAGAAACATTTCCTTGTGCTTCGTGTCGGCATTTGTAGTGTTTCAGATGAAACAAGTTTATATTTCCATTTTTGTGTAGATAAGTTTCCATTAGTAGTTACATAATTAAATTGAAATTTAATCTTTTTCTCAACTCTTCCTAGGAAATAGAGCTATAGAGCTATATCCTAGAGCATCTAGGAAACAGTAGGCCTAATTTGGGTGTAGAGACAGAAAAGGCCAAATATGTTAAAATGTCAGTTGTTATGTATTTTTCATAAGCTTTACTATGATACGTACAAATCTGTACATTCACGATCTTGGTGTTTTTGGTTTCTTTTAGTGCCAATGAATTACGTGACCCAACGTACCAGTATGGAATTGACACAAATAGCTTTCAGGTAAGTTGGGGTGAAACAGTGTTACAGCTTTATATGACAAATGCTAAATAGACTACTACAAATTGAAAAAAGGTGAGCTATTTCTATCTGCTCCTTTGTCCATCTGATGTCCATAATGCAGTTTGCCAAACTTTAAAGTAATAGATACAGTAGTGCCTCGCTTAGCGAGCGCTCCATTTAGCGACGAAATCACTTTGCGACCAACTTTTGATCGCTTTACGATGTTCCCTATGGGGTATTTTCGCTTTTCGATGACCGATCATCACAAAGTGACCATTTTCACACAGCTGATCGGCAGTTTCAAAATGGCCGGGAAAAAAAAACATGGTTGCCCGCTGTTTTCTGGGACAGATTCCTCACTTAACAGGCAGCAAAAATGGCCGCGCTATGGAGGATCTTCGCTGAAGAGTGAGTTTGAAGCCCCTAGGAAGGCATTAATCGCGTTTTAATGCATTTCTATGGGCTTTTTAAATTTCGCATTACGACATTTTCGTTCAACAGCGATTTCGCTGGAACAAATTAATGTCACAATGCGAGGCACCACTATATAGGCTGCCGCTTTAAATTGGTACTAATTTTGCAATATTTAATTTTCAAGGAATGAGTTGACACCCGATATGCTTTTTGTGGTGAAAAATTTTAGACTCATTTCATATAACTTTTAAAATACAAGATTAAATACCTAATTGTGTTGCAATATGTGACACTACAAAAATATATATTTTTTAAAATTTCCTTGTGATACAGATTTCTGAGATAAGAAAGAAAATTACATGATGTTAAAGGATTGCTAATTCTGTTGGAATCTTACTTTTGCTCCAAAGCATTACTAAAAATTGTACATTATTCTAATGGATTTGGGGGTGTAATGGGAGCTTTTTGTATTTAAAGGCCCCTCATAATCTGAGGCCCTCAGCTATAGTTTGCTCATCTGGTAGTTAAATCCAGTACTTCCTCTCTGTGAGCATTTGTAAAACCCTGAACCTGCCTGTCTTGCTTTTTGGAAACCATGCAAAGCTGTTCTTATCTGAGAAGCTGAGATTAAATGTGAGTGTAGTTAAGCAAATGTAATGGCGTGGATCCAAAGGCATTCTTTTTTTGAACAGGAGGCATTTCTGCTAGTACAGTGTAGATGGTGTGCCGTCCCTGGGGATCCCCTAGGCTTCAGATGTGGCCTTTTACAGGTGCTACAAGTAATCTTCATTTAATGAGCAGAATTTCATTCTTGCAACTTTGGTCCAAAAGCAAGGTCTTCTCTGTTTTAGCTGCCCCTTACAGTCACTTGCTGTGAGCCTTCTGGGATTACATAGGGGAAAAGATCATTTGGTGTCTCAGGTGCAATATGGCTTCCTTCTACTAACGTTGTACTATTCTGCCTCTGTTAATTATTTTAGGTTACATATTAAGCAAAAATGCTTTATATGAGAGAGCATTAATGCTTTTTTCTTAGATAGTCATAGAGCTTTATTTCTCTTGCTGGAATACTCTCTTTCCAGTTCCTTCTGAAAGCTCTTTGAGGTGCCTAAATGCTCCACTTGGGTTAGGATCCAAGTAAATTATATTCTTGTATTTGGGGACAACTGTGTAGCTGGCTCAGCTTCCTTCAGTTTATTTTTATGGCTGCTGCCAAAATGATGAACAGGTGTTTCACTACATAAAAATTTCTTGTCCTTCTAATTATGCAAAGTGGTCTAAATGTAGCAAGTTAAATGTGTGCACCAAATCTTTGTGTCCAGATCTGCTGTTTGAGAATAATGAGAATTGTACCCTGGTTCAATTTATAGAAGAGAACCAACTTGAGCAAGGCTGACATAGAACACCACATTGTCCTCTTTTTGCCTACATGTGTCAGACAGATGGGGCAACTTGCAGAAATGGTGTAGACGGTCTCTGTATAGTATGAAAGGTCAGGAGTGGGGAGGATAGGAAGGCAGCACAATGATGTCAGAATAACGTTAACACAATTTCTAAATATAATTTTGCAACAGGGGATGAAAATATTCTTTCTTGTGGTGGCATCTGTGTACAGTTTGTACCTTTTGTTCCTGATCATCCGAGCATGCTCAGAACTTCGTAACATGCCCTACATTGGTAAGATTTCTTCTGTGCTTTTTTTTTTATTGCTGCGGAACTGTTTTTCCAATGAAACAGGTGTGTAGCTTTCAGTAATACTTTGCTCTCTCCTTTTCTCAGATCTCAGACTGAAATTCTTGACAGCATTGACATTTGTTGTGCTTGTCATTAGGTAAGTTTTAATAAGAAGAAAAGCAGCAAGATTATTTCAGGTGTGGAAGGTGATAAAGTCAGACTGCCTTTCAGACTAACCTGTTTCTGTGATTTCACTTGGTATATAAAGTAAACTTTATACATGTTTATGTATTATATTAGTATATCCCAAAACCAGCAATTGCCTTTGGGATGGTTTGCAAACATAAAAACATAAAAATAAGAAGAAAAGCAGCAAGATTATTTCAGGTGTGGAAGGTGATAAAGTCAGACTATGTTGTGCTGTAGGGATGTGGTGGCGCTGTGGGTTAAACCGCAGAAGCCTCTGTGCTGCAAGGTCAGAAGACCAGCAGTTGTAAGATCGAATCCACACAACGGAGTGAGCTCCCATCGCTTGTCCCAGCTCCTGCCAACCTAGCAGTTCAAAAGCATGTAAAAATGTGAGTAGATACATAGGTACCACCATGGTGGGAAGGTAACAGCATTCCGTGTCTAGTCATGCTGGCCACGTGACCACGGAAACTGTCTTTGGACAAACGCTGGCCCTATGGCTTGGACACTGGGATGAGCGCCGCCCCCTAGAGTCAGACACGACTGAACTAAATGTCAAGGCGAACCTTTACATTTTCCTATGTTGTATCAAATATTAAAGCTATAATTCACCAAAACAAATCTTGCATTTCTGACAAGGTAGTTGTTAGATAGTGTATCAGTGGTAAGTATTCCCTATTTGAACCTGGAAATCGAGGCACAGCTCAATAACCGGAGCAGAGCTTGGAAAAGTTACTGGTTGTTGGACTCCAGCCCTCAGATTCTCCTATCCAGCACTGGTTGTAGCCATGCTGTCTGAGGAATTTGGAGAAGTGAATGCCAAAAATTGTGATGTTTCAAATACATGCTTTACTTTGAATTACTAATTAAATAAAAGAATCATAGCAAGGGTGACCAAAGGCTCTAGAAAGTGACTGCCTTTCAGACCAACCTGTTTCTGTGATTTCACTTGGTATATAAAGTAAACTTTATACATGTTTATGTATTATATTAGTATATCCCAAAACCAGCAATTGCCTTTGGGATGGTTTGCAAACATAAAAATACAAAACAGTAAATAAAAGAATCAAGCAAATGCACTGGCCAGTTCAAGTGTTAAATTGTCAAAATACCATGTGTTAAAGCCAGCAATAGATCTAACAACAAATAGCAGGTGTAGGAAGTCTTTTTAAAAATGTGGGTTTGTCCACAGTTCTTTGGAGTTAGTCTTCAAAAATCTTATGCTAATAGTGGGCAGTGACAGGGCCTCCCCCCCCTTCTGATACTTCTCTTCTCCTTCCCTCCCCACATCCATCAGGTTGCCTTGAGGAGGAACATGCTGCAGTTTTCTTAATTCCTTTTTATTAAGCTCACCATGCCTTGCCCCCATGTGGAATGTTTAAACTGCTACCATTAGGTTCAGGTCAATGAATAATGCATTGAAATATTTGTGTCTAAATTTTTTAACTTTATAATCATTCTCTGGCAAGGAGGTTGAATCAGCTTAACTATTAGGAGATAGAAGCATGATACAGAGATCTGTTTTCAGGACCAGATTAGGTGTGATCTAATCCAATGTTTGGTGTCTAGCAGTAAGCTAGATGCCTATGGGAAGCTCACAAATGGACACCCTAACAGAGTTTTCAAGGAAATGGCCCTTCTCTTATATTTTGCATCTACAATAGCTTACCACAAATTAGGTTCCGTATATCTTAACCATTAAGAAAAATGTATACTCTAGAGAGCAGGACTTGTCTAAACTTAAAAAGAAACGTCTTGCTCACGAAAACTCCTTGGTAGTAGAACAGCTGTCTTGGGAAGCCATGTGTTCTTCATTGTAGTCTCTGTGAGTCACACACGTGGGAGTTCCTGCACCTTTGCAAAACTCATTAGAACATCCTAGAGCTCAAAGGAAGAAGACTCTTACGGCAGCCGCTCTCCATTGCACATATTCTCACACCCAGTGGCTGTCCTTCAGTTCTCTTTAGCCATCGCTGAGGAAACTCCTCAAAATGTGTTCTTAGAGTTTTTTCCACAGCTTAAACTTTGAATCTTACCTTCGTTTGTTTGTCCTCTTCTTCATCTTTGTCCCTTTTGAACGTGTGTGAGTTCCCCTAAAACTTAAGTTTGTTAGTTAGTATTTGTTTGTCATTTGAGGTCTTTGAACTTTATGGCCTTTCAAAAAGTGTGCCATGTGTGACAACAAGATCCCACTCACCAATGGATATTCTAAATGCTTGTATTGCCTCAGTGAGTGTCACATAAACCCAAACATGACAGCACTACCATAAATTTAAGTAAGTCACTAATAAAAACTGACAATCCCAGTTCAGATCCCATCTTTGGGAAAAGTTGCTGCTGGCCATAGGTCCCTATTGCAACAAACCTCTTCCATCTCTCTGGCATGTGTGTGTAAGATCCCCTTCCAGACAAATACCTATGGAGGCAGTCCAGTCGGATGCAGGCAATAAAAACCAGGATGAACAGAGACCCAAGTAAGTCAAGTCAGCACAAATGGCATCTGAAACAGAAGGTATTCCATTGGCATTGAGAGCACAATCTGCATAGCCAACCACTCCCAAAGCTTCCTCAATGCTGAAATCCATCTGATTTTGAAGAAGCATAAAGAGCTTATAGAGTCTGAGTCTATACTGGCTAAGAAATTGAAGCCAAAGCAGAAGCTCAAAAGAAATCTACAGACCAGCCATTGAAACTTAACGGTAGATCCTCCTTTGCAGTCTGCAGAGAAATAACAAGAAAACCTGGTGTGCCTTGTGCCTGCTTGGGAGGAAGAAACACCATAACTCCAGGCTCATGCTTTGCTTGCCTGATTCAATGAAAAGACTGATGAAATGATGGAAAGCCTACAGAATGAGAGGTATACTGCGAAAAGAATGGGTTTCTATACACCATATAAATAAAGACAATACTGACAAAAGTGGAAATACCCTACTCATATCCATCATTAACATTCTCATGCAAACACTAAAGGCCTCTGCTATCACCAACCTTACAGTTCTACAGGCAGCAGTTGCATCACAAGAAGTACAAACAACCAAAGCAGCTCCAAACATAAAGAGAAAAAGACCAAACAGCACATTTGACTGCTTTCCCTTGACATTCATCATGTATTATCAGCTGGATGTCAGGGCTTAACTCAGTGCTGTGTTTAGGAGAGCAGTCATTTCATTGGTGACTCACAAGCTCACTAGGCAGTAAATGAGCTTGTCAGTCACCCACATGTGTGATTCACAGAGACCATGACAAAGAAAAACAGGTTACTTACTTGTAACTGTTTCTGCGAGTGATTGTGAATTCACACACCCCACCCATTGTTCCCTCATGGACAATGGTGGAAATGGGGAACTGAGAGACAGCTTTTTGCTTTGAGCTCTAGAATGATTCAACAAGTTTCATGCACATGCAGAAACATCCATGCATGTGAATTTACAGACAACCACTCGAAGAGCCACAATTACAAGTAATTAACCTGTTCTTCTCTTTTACTGAAGGTACTTAAGCAGAGGGCAGTAATCTGTTAACAATGCCATAGCTGCATCCTGCATTGCAGAATTTGCATTCGGAGTCATACACTGCTACAAGTGTATGATTCTCTACAAAGTTTCAAGCCACATCAGTGGACCATTGGGATTCTAGGTTCCAAAAAGATCCTACAAGACTGAAAGCAGTCCTTTTCTTCATAGTTCTCTTTGTCCCCTTCTAACATCTCTCTACTGCTAACCCCCTTTCCCTGCCTCACTCCTTAGGACATTTATTGTAACTTTTATCATAGTGCTCAGAGCAAATCTTAAATCTGTAGCTGCCTCTTGTACTATTGCTGCATTCTTCCTTTTTACATTCCTCACATCCCATCTCATATTTATCAGGACACCTACATTTTGATGTTCAGGTCTTTCCTGTGTTCTAAGTTTACTGGTCATTAGGAGCCTACTCTTTTTCCTGGTACTAACTTATTATTTGTTGAAATGAAGTTTAATTTTATGAAGAATTGCAA